GGTTCTTTATAGTACAAACCACAGAGTGAAAATATCTTTATAAATGATTTTAATAGTATATATTATTTTTTAAAAAGGTGAACACGTTTCAGGGTGAGAATCACATAATGAGCATTTTGTGTTAATATCCTTTTTGAATTGTAGCATGTAGTGAATAGCTGCACAGTATTTGTGTATAATTTTGTGAGACACCTCTCTAATTTTATTAGTTATTAAAAAATTATATGAAAACATCCAAACTTTTGTCCTATTTTTATTTTTAATATTAAGTGACAAGTATAAAATGACATAGGGGGCGGTAACAATGTGTTTTTAAAACAGAACACAAATTTCTTTATTTACATCTTTTCTGGGAGCATTGAGAAACATATTTTACCTACAGGACAATCAGTAATTGAAGACAGGGAAAATAATAATTTAGGAGACGGTATAAGTGTGTTCTTAAAGAGCATTATATTATAATTTGATATTATAATACACATGATTGTCCCTTCCGGCATGTCGTACACATTCCGACGAAACATAAAGGTACAATGACCAATCACATGCTGACATTTATTTCCGTGTTTTGGGACTTGGCAGGTGTTGATTGGTTGTGGACTGAAGCAGTGATCTTACGAGCAGAGGCTGAGGATACCGGGTGTGAAAGCGAGCTGCAAACATGGAGAGGTTGTGGTTGGTGCGGTGGCAGCTGCTGCTGTTTCCGCTGCTTCTGCTGCTGTTGTCTAACTGCGAGGGGAGAGAGTCGGAGTTAAACTATGTGACTTGCGGCTCGCTGGTCAAGCTGCTCAACACCCGACACAACGTCCGTCTACATTCACATGATGTCAAATACGGCTCAGGTAACCGCAGGCCCAAATGTAAAAACAAAGTTTTGACCAGTAAAGCTATGAAGATTTTGTTTTAACTTTGTAAAGCTGACTTCTGCCACGTGTGTGAAAGCTTCTGGATCCCCTCAAAGGCTCTCGAGCGCCTTACCGTTAATAGCTGAACAATAACAGAGCTTCTCATGCGCATGCAACGGAAGATTAAATAACATGCTACCTTCTAAAATCTGTTAAAGCTGAATATATGCAAGACACGAAGAGATTTCTTAAAAATGTTCAGCTCTTGTTTTTTTTTATGCTCACCCTTGTCAATATTGCATGGATGTGAAATAATCAGCTGAACTCGTTTTATGCTTTATTTTATTACTACTGTGATTTGTGTTTGTAATTACCCTATTTGTTTTCGCCTCCTGCCATCTTTAGGCGTTACCATGTAGTGCTGTTTATGTAGTTGTACAGGAATCGGTATCATTTCAGTTTAGTGTCTTTATTTTGAAAGACTGATGGACGGATGGATGGAAGAATGTATTAATTAGATGGTTACATAACCAGGACCGCTGTAGATATAAGACCTATGTGTCTTACATCTACAGCCAGTAGAAGTTTCACGGGCCAGTTTCAAAGATTCAAATGCATTTTATTTAGTTTAATCTAAAAGAAGGTTGTGTTTATTTGTTGTCCTCAGGGTGGCGCTGTTGCATCACAAAACCTTTCTTTGAAAGATTTTGTTTTTAAAAAATAACTTTATTGGGAAAAAATTTATCAATACAGAACAGTGAATATTCACTCAAGGTACATAAATTAATTGTTTTCACAGCTTTCTTGATGTTGGAGTCAGAGATGTTTACAATGTACTGTTCAAAGTCTTTTTGAAACAACATAAAAATGGATTAGTATGAGTAACTTTAAATCAGTGTATGTGGTATTTCCCTAAGAGTATTATTAGATCAATAATATAAAGTTATTTCTGTTTTTGCTGTTTTTATCATGGATTCCAATAGTGCAGTCCTTCGGACATAACTGGTCCGAAGGACCCAGTAGTGAAAAGTGATGATATCACTGTCTCACTACTTCATACCCAGTGTTGCAATTATTATTTTTGGAATTAACAGAAAAGTATATATCGCCCACTGGTGTCACAGAAGGTTCAAATGGTAGAAACTCCATTTATTTAAAATATAAATAAAGGGTTTCCCAGCACTCCTTAATAAAGTTAGAAAATACCAAGCCAAACAGCCTGTCCCAATTTTGTCCAATATGGGGTAATAAGCTGTTTACTCCAGGTGGAGTGATGGAACGTTCAAGCTATGGGCATTGAAAGGCTTAAAAAGTATTGGTGATATTCAGCCATCAAATTCTGGTATATGTTTTTGTCATTTGGAGAGTTACAAACCAAGTTCAAGCTGGATAAAAAGCATTATTTTAAATTTCTTCAATTGAGAAGCTTTGTCAAAGCAAATTACAGTAATCTTAACAAGCCCTTACATTGCTTGAAAAATGAATGACTCTGAGTAAATCAAGAAAGGGCATTATTTCAGACTTTTATAATGTGGTGATCTCTAACTCGTCAGAGAACTCAAATAATAAGCTTATGAACTGGAATATGGATCTATCATCAAATATCAGCGAACAGGATTGGGAAAGGGCTTGCATTAAAACTCACACAATTTCCATAAACAGCCGTCTTAGAATCCTACAATTTAAATGGCTAATGCGTGTTTATGTTACGCCTGTGCATTTAAATAAATACAATAATAACATCCCAGATCTTTGCGTAAAGTGTAATTCTAAAGGGATTTTAATACACTGCATGTGGGATTGCAGACAAATACATGTAAACAAATTATACATG